GAAATATACAATAATAAAGTTATGGTCAAAGATGCCGCTTAAAAAAAAAAAAAAAAAAAAAAAAAAAAAAAAATTTTCAAATTCTTCACTGATGCAGACCCGCCGATATGATTTCATACTTATTCATTATACAACGATTATTATTTTTAGCTATAATTTTAGCCGGTCGGCTAAACCGCTCGGTTCGACTAATATCGGCTATGGCTATAGCCGACTATAACCTGCTATAGCCATCCCTATATGCCTATCTTATTTTATTTACTTAACACGTTAATCATTCGATTACAATATTTCGTGTGATTATTAATGCAAATATAATAATGTACCTGAATACTATAACCCAGCACCACTTAAATAGTAATAATACTTCATATGAGTGCTGTCAATAGAAAACCTGTCATCGGGCTTTCAATGTACAGTTGGCTTTCTACATGCCGTCTATGGACAATCAACTATCGGATATTCAATTATATATTGTTTATCCGACATTTCATATGGGTGAAAACCAGGAATTCATGTGAATCTTTTTGTTTGCATGAAATTACGTAATATCAGTTTTGCAAAATATCACAGAAAAAACTTCACACAGTCATATTGAACATACGTACTGTACGTACGACAAATAACAGGAAATTTTTTTTTTCAACGGAGTTAATTTCACTCATGTGCTGCTACGCAGAACATGGAGTGACTTAGAGCTGCAGACATTAGAATATCAATGAACATTTACTATGACGTTTGACGTGACGTATGTGACGTGACGTTTAATATGATTATATATAAATTTTATATGACGTGAAGAGTGACGTACTACCTTGGACCTTCTAAATGTCTGCAGCTCTAGGAGTGACATTACTCCAACAAAAAAAATTTCCTGTTATTTTTTGTCGCCTGTCCAATAATGTACACTTATTGCTTATCTAAATTGTCATCATCATATAGAATTCCGCACTGAATCAAATATATACTTTATTTGTCATTACAGTACTGCAGTATAATAAAATCTCGGTGTAGTTAAAAAAAAATCAGAAATCAGCTAGAAATCACCTAAAAATCGTGCGATTTCTTTTTCTCTTGCAAATTTTGCTTTTATCATAAAGTTTGCTTTTATCATAAAGTTTGCTATAACATAAAGTTTTCGTCTTTAAAATACTCCGAAAAAAATTTAATCGCTCCCATCTGTAAATCTAGAAAAAGGCCCTATGTAATGCATGTTCGAAACTTTTGTGCTCATTGGAACCAATTTTAAAAATAAAGACTTAGAGTGCTATTTAAATATGTGTTATAAAATTGCGCATTCCATTAAAAAAAAAATTCTGATAGCTTGATTTTTTTTATTTAATTACGTAAAAGGTTTACGTTTTGTAATTATTAATTTTTTTATTATTAACTAAAACCTCGAAGGTTTTATTTCATGTTATTGCTGTAGCAAAAATTGAATTATTGATGCTGTGCCAACAATTAATTAATTGAGCAATTAATTCAATTATGTATTCGGTACGCCTGATAGGAAGTACCGTATTTACCTAAAATAACATTCCGAGGTGTTATTTAGAGGCATGCAATTTGAATAGAGCTAATAGTTGATTTAGCTGAAGATTGTTTAAAAATAAAACTATGAATTAATCATTAGCTCGCTTCAATTTGCATGTCCTTGAATGCCCCGTGTCGTACAGTCACCTCGCTCTAAACTAAGTCGGCTCTTTAAACTGACATCTCTTTAAACATAAAATTTATTATTAGATGGACTATAAAATTTATATAGTGAACTTTTTAATATAAGAACATAAAGTTGACTATAGAAAAATTTACTTTTAGATATTTTGGTTAAGGTTAGGTCATAGGGTTCTTGGCGGCGGAGTTTAATGAAGCTCTGAATGGCGCGAATTAAGCACTGAATGGACTCAAATGGATAGTTTATTGATTTCCATTCGAACCTAACGCATGCCCTTATGGAGACAAATGCATAGCACGATAAAAATCCAAAAAAGTTCAGATCATTGTTAAAATCAAATCTTAATTTTCTTTATCTGTGATAACTAACGATAAGAATCCAAATTCCTATCGCTATTTAATCTTTCAAAGAAAAAAAAATTTTTTTTTTTAAAATACCTGTCGGAAAAATTCGAACTTTGATCACTTAGGGACGGACAGTTAAAATTTTTCTAAAAATAATTAACTTAAATTCCCATACGACCTTGCTTTATCTAAAATTCACAACTGCCATGATGCCATGCATTTGAATGAGAAAATTGGCATAAAATTTCAAGTTTTTTATTCCTATTAAGGGGGCATATACGTAATCTCGATTGTACTTACATACTTACATACGCACGTAACTACAAGTGTTTGAAATCACAAATATATAAATTTATAGCAACAAAAAATCCCCAATTGCTCTTTGTTCCTTAACGTTAATAACAATATGGGCTCGAAATGCGAAGGAAACGTTACTTTGCCTAACGGTAAAACTGTTAAAGGTATGTAATATTTTGATTATTATTATTATTATTATTATTATTATTATTATTGTTATTATTTTTATTATTATTATCATTATTACGTATTATCATTATCATCATTATTATATAGTTTATACTGGACATTTTATTAATAACGAGTTTGTTAACTCCGTTGATGGTAAACGTTTTGAGACCATAAATCCTTCAACGGGCGAAGTTATTACTTCTGTAGCAGAAGCATCTGAGAAAGATGTTGATATTGCCGTTGAAGCTGCTGCAAAGGCTTTTAATGAAGAATGGATTCATGTGGATGGCAAGGAGCGTGGAAGATTGTTAAATAAACTTGCTGATTTAATGGAACGTGATATCGATGATTTAGCTGCTCTTGAATCATTAGATAATGGTAAAGCTTTCACGGCAGCAAGGTCTGGAGATCTTCCTGCTTCAATTTCAGTTTACAGATACTTTGCCGGATGGTGTGATAAGATCCATGGCAAGGTAATTGGATTTTATCTTGCTAGGTTTACTTAAAGTCATTTAGTAAATTGTCACTTGCTTGGTATTTTATCTATTTATGATACTAGTGAAATGATATTTAAGATTTTTTTTTCCTATTGTTCCAAGAATTAAAACTCCCTTGGATTTAAATAGTAATCTATATATATATTTATCTATTTTTTTTCGTAGGTTATTGGAACCCAACACGATAAATTCTGTTACACTCGTCATGAACCAATTGGTGTTTGTGGTGCAATTATTCCTTGGAATTTTCCAATTATGATGCAATCTTGGAAATTAGCTCCTGCTCTAGCATGCGGTATTTATTATAAAAACATGTAAGTAAATGAAATTTAAAGTCGTCTACTAACAATATCTACTTTTTCATAGGTAATACCATAGTGCTTAAGACATCTGAATTCACTCCTTTGACTGCCCTAAAAGTTGGCGCCTTAATTAAAGAAGCTGGGTTTCCAAAAGGTGTCGTGAATATTCTGTCCGGATTCGGCCCTACAGCTGGTGCTGCTGTTGCTAATCATATGAAAATCGATAAAGTCGCTTTCACAGGTTAGATTTAAATTAATTCCAAGTTATGATGAAAATTATACTTAGCTTAATATTTAATTGTTTTGTCAATTTTCTTTCTTAGGATCGACCGCTGTAGGAAGATCTATATTAAAAGCATCCGCAGAAACCAATTTGAAAAAAGTTTCTTTGGAATTAGGTGGAAAATCGCCAAATATTATATTTGCTGATTCTGACCTTGAAGAGGCTGTTAAATGGGCATATCAAGGAATCTTTTTTAATCAAGGTCAATGCTGTTCTGCTGGCTCTCGTGTTTATGTTGAAGATTCTATTTATGATAAGTTTCTTGAGAAATTCAAAGCGCATGCACAAAGCATCAAAGTTGGTGATCCTTTTCATAAAGATACTTATCAAGGACCTCAGATTTCTCAACGACAATTTGATAGGTAATATTAATATTGCGTATATGTTTTTGTAAAAATAATGACTAAATAATTTATGATATAAGTTATATATTATATATTTATTTATTTATTTACTTCTTTATTTATTTATTTAGAATCATGTCTTACATTGAATCTGGTAAGAAGCAAGGGGCGACTTTATTACTGGGTGGCAAACGACACGGTGACAAAGGATATTTCATCGAACCAACTATTTTTGTTAACGTGGTAAAGTTTTATTTTAACTTTATACATTCTTATCATTACAAGTACGTATTAAGATTTTTTACTTTTTAAATATTTTAAGAACGAAAAAATGAAGATCATGCAAGAAGAAATATTTGGTCCCGTTGTAGTCATTACAAAATTCAAAACTGTTGATGAAGTAATCGAAAAGGCACATTTGACAAATTATGGCTTGGCCGCAGCTGTGTTCACTAAAGATTTATCTCGTGCAATAAAAATCTCAAACGCGTTGAAAGCTGGTACAGTATGGGGTAAGTTTCTCCAAATCCCTCCTCCCAATATGATTAAAACCTTTACACTTTATTATATCTAATAATTCAAACTTCTTCATTTACTTTGCATAGTTAACTGCTATAATGTAGTTGATGCCAATACGTAAGAAATTAAAATTTCAAATTCGTTTATTTATTTCCATCTTATGTTTATCCATTTTATTAATGTTTTTTTTTTTTTATTGTCAAAAATTAGCCCATTTGGAGGTTACAAAGAATCTGGAATTGGTCGTGAGCTCGGAAAATACGCGTTAGACTTATATACTCAAGTGAAGACAGTTCAAATTAATCTTGAATGTTAAATGTGAATTATGCAATTGTATATTAATTCAAATGTAAAGTGTTCACCGATGCTAGTGTAGTTGCCTTTTTTTAATTGAAGTACAAAAAATTCTCTTTGCTTGCTTGAATATGTGGTTTTTGTAAATAAATTCACGTGCTCTTAAGATTTAAAAACGTCAAATTTTATTTTTTTTACGGCTTTACAATAAATAATTATAATCCGCTAATACCTCACTAACACTAATAAAATTCAGTATTTAAATTTTTTTAATCTGATGCAAATTTTAATTTGACACACAATATAATATTAACGGCGTAAAATATACGGCTCTATCTTAGGGTGAGAATATAACTCGTAAATCCGAATTTTCATTTTTGTCTAATCGTTATAAATGATTATATAATATAGAAAATATCACATGTTTAAAATAGATTCTAAAAATAGAAGCATAGCAGATTGGTTGTTGAGGATATCCCGGAAAAATTGTCGATCCTACCCCGGATAGAGTACCAGCTAATACCGGATAAAAATTTTACTACTCGCGAACTTTTATAATTTAAAAATGAATAATGCTCTAAAAAACATATATTATAGTTTTACAATACACTAATTCAGTTTTATAATAATAACTTTAATTCAGATTTTACACGGCTTTTATTTTTTACATATAAATGTCTATTAAATAACGCATACACGACATTCCTAAACACTATTACTACTATCACTTATTGTATTATAAACGTCATATTCATAAACTATACTCATATCTAAATAAAATACAATAAAAAAAATATTAAAATACAGTTCAAAATACGGTTCAGAATAATAGTTCAAAAATACTTTTTACTTATAAAAAAAACAAACAAAACTAGTTGAAGTAGAGTCTCTAGATTTCACTTACTAATTGTTTAGACTGCCGAACTACCGACCTTTCAAAATATTCACCTTTCATCTAGTTTTTGGAGCTACTGCATCTTATTGCATCTCAGGTTAAAAAACGATAAGTTTAAAGGTAAACTACAAGTTGGTTAAAAATTACAATTGACTATATAAAAAAAAGATCGTCGCCAATTATATTTACAACGAATCGTTTCTATAAGTAGCTAACATATACTATTTGAAATTTTTTTACCCGAGTTTACTGTGGATAATAGTGACTTTCGATACACTTTTCTTTTGAATTAACATAATAATCGCTAGTCAATTTTTTGTGAGACATATTAACTCACTTATAATAAGCATTTTTCTATTTATGATTAGTTAATTCTTTAATAAAGTAGACAAGCTTTACTCAAACAACTATGAATCAATTAAAATCCTATAAACCGAGATTGCTATCAAAAAGAGAGAAATAAAAGCTACAAATTAAAAATATGATATAAAATTTTATGTTTTTTTGATTTGAAAAATGTACTTTTGTAAATTGTATTAAAATAACTTGTTCAATAATTTTCATTACATAATAAGTTTTATATATGGTCCAAACTATTATTTGATTTACCAATTTTATAAACACCCTAAAGTTATATACGTGAATTCCCTATGTATTCAGAAATAAAATATATTGCTTAAAGTCATTAGGGCGTACAGTAGGCAGCAAAAGTAACGAGTTCGCCAGGGTGGCCCCCAAAAGTGGGGTCAGATTATAGTTGACGGTAGAATTAGGGTGGTAAATTAATACGACAACGGCAGGTGCCGTAATTCTGTAGTGCGTAATGCCGTAATGCCATAGTGTCGATATACTGAAACGCAGTAAAACTTTTAAAGTACTTTCAACACGAAATAATTACCTTTATTATTTATATATTTATTTAAAACACAAGTATTAAAGTGAACAGAATTAAACTTTTCAATCTAGTAATTTATTAACAAATTAAATAATTATAGTTAATATATTCTCTTAAACCCAAACATTAAAGTAACAAAATCAAAATTCATACTCACCCTGGTAATGTATTAAATGATCAAATAATTATGGTAAGTAATATATTCTCTTGAAACACAGACTTTAAAGTAAACAGAATCAAGCTTCATACTTAAACTAGTAATGTATTGAATGATCAAATGATTATAATTAATTACAAATTCTCTTGAAATGCAAACATTAAAATGAACAGAATCAAACTTCATACTCACCATAGTAATTTATTAAACAATCAATTGATTACGGTTAATCACGTTCTCTTGAAACAAACACTAAAGCGAACAGAATCAAACTTCAATCTCACCCTGGTAATTTATTGAATGATTAAATGGTTACGATTAATCACGCATTCTCTTGAAATACAAACATTAAACAAAAGAATCAACTTTATACTCACGCTGGTAAATTATTAACCGATCAAATGATTACGGTTAATCACGTTTCTCTTAAAACACAAACGTTAAAGCGAACAGAATCAAACTTCATACTCACGCTGGTAATTTATTGAATGATCAAATGATTACGGTTAATCACGTTCTCTTGAAACACAAATGTTAAAGTGAACAGAATCATTGAACGATCAAATGATTACGGTTATTTACATATTCACTTGAAACTCAAACGTCAAAGTGAACTGAATCAAACTTTATACTCACTCTGGTAATGTATTGAACGATCAAATGATTACGGTTAATCACGCATTCTCTTGAAACACAAGCATTAAAGCGAACAGAATCAAACTTTATACTTACACTGATAATGTATTGAACGATCAAATGATTTCGGTTAATCACACATATTCTCTTGAAGCACAAACGTTAAAGTGAACAGAATCAAACTTCATACTCACTCTGGTAATGTATTGAACGATCAAATGATTATGGTTAATTACACATTCTCTTGAAACTCAAACGTCAAAGTAAACAGAATCAAACTTCACACTCACTCTGGTAATGTATTGAACGATCAAATGTGATTACGGTTAATCACACATTATCTTGAAACTCAAATGTCAAAGTGAACAGAATCAAACTTCATACTCACGCTGGTAAATTATTGAATGATCAAATAATTACGGTTAATCACGCATTCTCTTAAAACACAAACGTTAAAGCGAACAGAATCAAACTTCATACTCACGCTGGTAATTTATTGAACGATCAAATGATTACGGTTAATCACGCATTCTATTAAAACACAAACGTTAAAGCGAACAGAATCAAACTTCATACTCACGCTGGCAATTTATTGAACTATCAAATGATTACGGTTAATCACACATTCTCTTAATCCACAAACATTAAAACGAACGGAATCAAACTTCATACTCACCCTGGTAATTTATTGAACGATCAAATAATTACGGTTAATCACGCATTCTCTTAAAACACAAACGTTAAAGCGAACAGAATCAAACTTCATACTCA